GTGCAAGTCAGCAGCGGCTCAAACCACGGGCAAACTCTGGCTCAAATCTCAGCTTTGCTCCATTCAGGATCTGCTACGCTTGTTCCCTCTTGAAAATAACTTTTGCACTTAACAGTCTCCAGTGTGCCCGCAAAGCTTCTGTGTACCAACCGTTTCGATTCCCTCCCATACTTTCACACAGTACATGATGAGATCAAGGAGCCTTAACAAGGATCAATAAGCATGAAAATCCCTTCTTTTTCATAGAAGGAACATGCAGCATCCTACAGCCCTGCAGCTCCCGCAATCCCCTGCCCCCTCGAGCCGTTTTAAGGGCATCGTAAAACCGTGCCACTTTGTCCTTTCAAGAACATCACTTATCCCTCCCTGCGCGCCTGTGGACGGAGGCCGGGAGCGGGTGGCCTGTGCCAGCCTGGAGGAGCCCCTGGGAGCTGACCTATGACATGTCAGTGGGTGCTGATGGTGCCGTGGGTCTGTCCCCCTGCCCTGGCTCCTTCATCCCCGCAGAGGTACCACCGAGGCTTTGCCTCGTCCGACGGAGGCAAAAGCAACTTGTCGGGTTTTTTTGCATACGATAAAAACTGGGGTGGGGTGGGGAGGTTAAATCCTGTCTTCTCCACTGGGCTAAGGGCTTTAATGCAGTTTCTCTCTGGCGGGTTCGTGCTATCCATTATGCAGCACTCAAGGCACTAAGGTTCGCCTTCATCCCGGCTCGAGACTAATTAAGATGAATGTTAACTGTCCCCACTGCTCATTACCCAAGAGAAAGCCGATTAGCAGCTCTGATGGAAGCTCTCTTCGGAGCTGCCCCCAGTTTCCAAAGAGATGCCATATAGCTCCCTTTCCTTCCTGACCCATGTCGAATGGTTGCATTGAGAGGCACCTCAAGAAATACTGGGCCAGGACCATCACCCACGGGCAGAAAATCGGAGGGTTCATCAAACCCAACACCTCTCGAGTGAGTCACTTCACTGCCACGGCGTTGCCACCCGCAGACGCGGGACAAGGCGGCCCGGCATTGCAGCGCGGTCACGCTTGCAGCCTCCCGAGCTTTATCCGCATGGACCGGAAGCAGCCTGCGGGCTGGGGGGTTTGGAGGGGGAGAAGAGGTTTCTGCTAATGATCCTTGAATATCACAAGCGGGCAGGAAGGAAAATGTAGAGGCATGAAAAAGTAAAAATAAAACCATCTAAAAATAACCCCCGCTGAGCAGCACGGGGCTGCGCTGCATGGTGAAGCCCCTTCCAGGGAGAGGCAGCTGCTTGGAACGTGCTGGCAGGAAAACTGAGGTTTCTTCCACAGCTCCAAGAAATTTTTCTCTTCTCGCTGAGAAACTTGGCTGTGTCCTTGAGCGGCACCTCTGTACCCCCAGGAGGAAAAGGGGCATTTTCTGCCCAGCGGCAGGGAAGCAGAGCGGAGGCTGGGTGCGGGAGCGAGGGCTCCGGGCGGTGGCACGGCAGGAGGTGACAGCCAGCGCAGGGACATCCCGCCGGCTGCTGCAAATGCTCAGCGGGGATAAGCAAGCTGGGAAATTCAGATATGTTGGATTTTTCTCTTTAATTAGCCCCACCAGACAGCCAGCACTGATTTCAGGGGATGCTCAGAGAGATGGAGCAGCCCCTTTTGCGCGGCCGCAGCTCTGGGAGCCGGCGCCGCACCCAACCCTCCGCGCATCCCCAGGGCCCATCTTGCACCAACCTAATCACATTTTGATGGCACACTTCCTAATCCAAACAGGAGTGGTGCCAGATTTAGTCTACGCAGCACAGTCCCTCGGGGTGCAAAGCACTTCCCCGCTGCCAGGAGCTTCGGCCGCAGGCGCGTTACTGGGGCACAGCCGCCAAGACGGGGCATCCTCGCCGCATCCCGGTGCAGGAGCACGGGGCAAAGCTTCTGCCTCCCATCCTGCTTAGTGCAAGTGGTACTCATGCGATCTGAGCACCGATTTCCCACCGCAGTTAAAAACCTATAGTAATGTTGATTCAGCCTTTGAAGAACGCAGATAAAGGTTGGTTCCCAGTTGCAGGCTGAGAGCATGCAACACTCAGAGACATTGCGGGCACAGGTTATATTTAGGGCAATCCAATAAAGCTATGCTTCGACCTTAAAAGGACTGAGTGCAGCTGGGGAAAGGAAAAAACTAAAGCAGATCACTCTGCTTTGCAGACCTAATATTAATGCATCAAGCTACTGCAGCGCACATATTTATTTTGTCAAACTGTCAAAAAGTGGCACCTTAGTGGTTTTATATAAAGAAGCATTAGAATGGAAAATGCTTTGTAGCTAAAAAAAATATTATCCAAGCCCTGATATTGAATAGGATTCAAAGGCTGTGCAAATATGCACTGCAAAGGTTTCTCTACACAAAACTCGCTTCCGAGGAGCAGGATGGAAAAGCTGAATTTTGCACTAAGGAGAAAAACCAATACTACCCGATACAACACACTGACATGGCTTCTGATGCTACCTGCATTGATCAGTGGGTGCATTGGCATATTTTTCAAAATATATAAATATCTTTTGGCCTGAAACTGGGTCATAGATAGATAGCTAAAATTCTACTTCACGGCAGGGCCAAATTTCCCAGATGACTATTATGTTTAAAAAGAAAAGACTAATTTTTCAAGTCCCACAGAAGACTTTTGCAGCCTCTGCAAAGAAATCATGCCCCTGATGCCCTCGCTCGCCACTGAGGAAAGGCAACAACCTCAAATAATCTGAAAGAGCTACTTTAAGCTTGGTCAGGTCTTATTCTGAAGGCACAAAACAGCACAGAAATGTTGCAAAGGCCCTTGGATCCTGCACGTGGCTGCAAAGGATCTCAACAACCTGCAATAGCAGCCCCAGATGGGGAGACCCAGCCCCAGTTGGGGATCTTTGAGGTCTTTGAAAAATGCAGTTCCTGAGCAAAGAGCAGCACACAAACCCGATACAGCAGACAACAACAAGATGGCATGAGAAATGATATATCTGGGGTGAAGCCCTCTACTCCTGCAGCCGAGCACCTGGAGCAAGCCAGCAAACCTGCTGCCCTGTGTCTCACTGAGCTGGGACCAGCAGGGTTGGGAGCTGCTTTTCTGAAGGGGAGAGCTAAGAAGGTGATGCAATATTTCACCATTAATGGCTTTATGAAGCTTTTTCATTCCAGCCCATAACCAGTCTTTTTGAAAACCTGCCAAGAGGAGGCTGGAAATTTGACCTCACCTTGTGGAAACTTCTCAAAGAGAATTAACCTGTGGTGAGACATGAAGCGGCCTCGCAGAGCACTAGTGCTGAGGCTGTAGCTATGCACAGATAGCCTGGAGGAGAGCGAAACATGGGAATACTCAGAAAAAAAGTGTATTTTACATGAAAACAGATCACATGGAAATGTCTTCTCTGTGCTACGTGATGGAGAGGTGGCCAACTATGGCCTCACCTTCTGCTAAGCCAGAGGAACAAAGCTGGGCTGTCGTTAAGCTGCAGGGTGACAATAATTTTGTGATTGCCCACCCATGCAACGATTAGCCCAGAAGCTTTCCACCAGTTGAGAAGGGCTGCTGGGGAGTTATTTCATCTGAGCTGCATTTTCCACCAGGAGAGCCAGCACAGTGCAGTGGGCGAAGGCAGGTACAGAGCACTCATTAGCTTCATTGTAATTACTCGAGACTATGGCAGGTTTTGAAGGCGTTTGATCCAGTTCAGTAGCCCCAGCTATTAAAATCCCAGCCTGTTTCCTGAACGGCTGCAAAAAGCTCCCTCTAGCAATGTCTCCCACGGACCTCTGCTGCCTGCTGTCCCACAAGCCACACCAGTGACCCTGGCCCAGTGAGCAGCTCCATCTTCCCCATAGCAGCCTGGCCAGGCTCACATTCAAGCATCCACGCCAGCTCCCCCAGCCCCGTCCCAAACTCACTGTTATTAGTCCCACAGAGGACTTTCGGGGGTAAAAGGGAGAACCCCATGGGGCAAAGCCTTCAGGAAAGGGAGGCAGTGCTCCAGGAGACCGCACCTTACTCATTTTGCAAGAAGGTCTCCTACCTCCTCAGGAGTGAGGATAACCCATGGACAAACTCTTAGGACCCCATGAAGAACAAATGCCAGTCCTGTGGAGCCCTCCATACAAGCACCTGGCTTTCCTTACCCCAGCTGACCTCCTTGCCATTTCACAGACGATTTGACATAACACTTACATCTAAGCCTTCAGATGCCCGAGCATTTTTCACAGCACCAGCTAAACACCACACTATTTGTGAAACCTGTAGGCAGTCCGGTGGCCTTACATGGGAGCAAACAGCCACATGTCCCGCTGGCATACATCATCAGACACGTTCCCAGGGCTGCAGCACCACTCATGCAGGCTCCAGACCCTGTCATGCATCAGACCAGGGGACTGATTAGCAACCCCACCAGCTGTACCTTTGCCATGCAGGGACCTGGGCAGAACCTGCTGATCCCACCCCTGAGACAGCACTGTGCTACCTCCTCCCTGGCTAAAACAAAGCATCAGAGTTTCACTGTCAAGTTCAGTCACTTTTCCAGGAGATGGCTCTGTCTAGACCCAATTAGGAGGTCTTGCTCCCAACTTCACGGTATAAGTCTCCAGCAGTGGACAATACTTTTGTCAGGGCTGGAAGGAAGGCATGGCTAGCAATACTTTCTAGCACCTTGGCAAGAGGTAGCATTTGACGTAGGAAACTACTTGGGAATGAGAAGGAAATTACTCAAAATAATGCCGTTCCTAGCTCTGCGGTAGAAAGGACAGAGAACTATATGCACTGGAGGACACGCAGAGCTGTAGAGCCTGTAATGATCTCTGATCCCAACATAATACCAGGCAACTGCCACTTACTCAGTGGGCTGAAGGACCTTCCTCCACCATCTTGGCCAGAAGAAAGCCTTGTGCCACAGGGAGCCGTGGTGCACAGCGGCCAGCAAGGCGGGCACTCACATCAAGTCCCACGCTCTGAACCCAGCAAGGATCACGGCTCGGTGGCATGCAAGGAGATGCCTAGGTTTACCTGGTGATGATGGCGAGGTGGGGAGGGCTCATGCAGGCTCCCATGAAGAGCACCACGTTCTCATGGCGGGTCTGCCGGTAAGCCATCACCTCCCGCTTAAAGGCTTTCAGCTGGTCCTCGTTGTCCCGCTCGATGTCGATGAGACGGATGGCCACCTCGCCGTGCCAGCGCCCGTGAAACACCTGGCCGAAGCGCCCCTTGCCGATGAGCTCCCCGATCTCCAGCTGTTCAAAGGGGATGTCCCACTCCTGGAGGAAGATGCTGGTTTGGCTGGCCTTGCGGGGGAAGTTGCGAGCCGAGAGGAGGGAGAGGTTCATCTCTTCAAAGTCATCCTCGGACTCTTGGGCCTCCTCATTCCCCTCCTCATTCTGCAGGGAGACAAACAGAGCTGAGCACAGAGAAACCAAGTAGGTATCTCCCAAAAGCAACTGAGAGGAGGTGACCGCCTGGTTCCAGCTATATTTTATGCAAAGCCACAGGAAGACAGAAGCTACCATAGCTAGATTTTGCAGGGAAATGCCACGGGAGCTTGCACACCCAGGGTTAAATGCAAGAGAGTGACATATCAGAACATTTTCATTAATTTATCTGAAAGCAGCATTTCATCCTACCCCTTCCTAGCAGCCCTCTGCTAATATCAACAACTCCCATCACAGTGGCCTGAGGTCTGCAGCCTGGAGAAACTGGGATAAGTCTGAATTTTCCTTTCCTGAGCTGTATATTTCTTACAAGAGCTACAACACACATAAAAAGCTGTGTCCCCTGTACTGGCCTTTCAAGCCTTCCCCCACACCACATTTTTAATGAATCTCATAAAATCTCACCAAACTATAAACTCGAGGACAGGCACAAAGGCCACGAGGGACCCTGCTGCCGCTGCCTGTTTCAGTGGCGGGGCAACACAGACGTGAGGCGTCACATGGGCACAGGATTCACCCAGGGGCTGCAAATCCCCTCCAAGGAAAGACTTCTCGATCTGCACTAACATGTTATCAAGAATCCCAGATGGGTGGTTAAACGCAGCTCAGGCGGACGGCCGCTCCCTGACCACTCTTAGTTGCGTTAGCAAATAAAAACTTCATTACAGCCTGCATAAGCAGGATCAGGTCTGGCCATTAATTCAATTACCAGCGACATCCCGGTGCAGATGCACATTTTATGCCCGTTTCTGTGAAATGTGCCCTGCGATGTATATACTATAAAGGCCCATTGAGCACTATACTGAGCCCATCGGCTCTATGTAATTGTATCTGCACCGATGTATAGATCACAAAGGTGGCAAAATGCCACAGCATCTACCCACGCTTTAACAAACTTTGCTTTCCAAAGCTTTTCTTTCGTTCTAGAAACGAAATAAAGAGCCTGCGCTGTTGCTGGGGGCATCTTACCTCCGATGTTGGCTCCACTTCAATTTGAAGTAATGGATTTCCTTCCAGGCTGTTAAAAAAATTACCACAGTGTGAAAATAGAGCTACACGGGGAGCGGGTGACAGGGCGCGGAGTGGCACCATGACGCGAGTGTCAAGTCTCGCTTCCCTCGACATCAGTCTCCATCAAGACAAAAGAAAACAGCAACTGGAAATGGCAGGCTTGCGATGCCATTTCGGGACACGTTAATTTGGGAGCGAGGCCCAGAAGCAACGTCTGCAGGGACAGATTTGCACCCTCGCAGCTCTGGCCTGAAGCACCGAAGCAAGGCTGGGGCATGCGCTCATGGTACTTCCGACTAGTTTCTAAGACGAGATTTATCTTCTCCACGAATGACAGCCAAAGCAACAAACAAGTCCGACTCATTGCCAGAACAGAAGAAAATGGGTTTTTCAGTAATTTTCAAAAAGTGGAGATTACAAAGACCCTCCGCACTGTAAGAGCACCGGAACGTGCCCCAGCAGCAGGGGTAAGTTAGCTTGCTGGCTCCTTGGGTCACAAAGCTCCTCTTTTTGCCCTCTGCTTATACAGCGCCTGCCAGCACCAGATCTGCGACCAGGTCCCGAGGCACTCGTATGCGGCAGCTAACAGGGAACGGACGCAGCGGAGGGCTGCGGGGGGAAGATCAGCGGGAGCAGCTTGGGACGTTCAGAGGTATAACAGAGTCCCCTCCCTGTGGGAGCTGCCAGCGAGGATTACAGGAGAGCAAACGCTCCTCCTGCACCGCCGGCACTCTCAAAGGCACTCGGATGCCGTGGTCCTCTATTTCCTGTTCCACTGAATTCTCACTCAAGCACTATGAGCTGCAGGAGGATTTCTTTTCGCAAACCCTCCCATGCCACCGACCACTCTGATGCACGTGCAGTTTGTAAGAAAAGCAGGCTCTTTTAGCTGATCTTTAACACAGATGCTAATACCTGTCTCCAGAGTATCTCGGGATATAAAGCAGAACCTGCTTTACAGTCCAGCCATGTCTGGAGTAACTTCAGTGACTTCAGAGGGTTACTTTCAGCAGGCTAAGCTGCTGAGAATCACATATTTTGCATATTCGGACCTTATTTTCCCCACAAAAACCTTCCAGCTCTAGTTCTGACACCGTGCTTTAGATATCAGGATCTGGCAGAATGAACTCGAAACTCATCTCATGGGCAGGGCTACCTATGCTGGAGGAAACCCAGGAGAAGCACAATGTAAAAATCTCTCCTTATGACTGCATTTGGTTCCTATGTGCATTTTGATCTCTTCTTTGGCTCAGAGGGAAAAAAAAAAAAAAAGACGACTAAGTTAATCATTTTGCCATTAATTTCCACGCTGCCAGCACCCAATGGGCAGAGCCGTTCCATCTCTGTCCCTCCGACCGCCTCTCCTAGACAGAGATGAGATTCTTCAGACCCCCCTGACAGGTTGCCAATTCAGTGAGAGGCGTGTGGGCGATCTGGATAGAAACTACGTCTCTGTCTGGCCCGAGATCCTATCTGTTAAATTTCCAGCTTATATAATCCTTCAAAAGTGGCATTTATAAAAAGGAACAGCAGCCACCCCTGAAATGCAACATCGCTGCTGGATGCTGCCAGAGCAACGCAGATGACAGTGGTCATGGAGGACCTTAGGAAACACTGGATTAAACAAAGCAGCTCTGACACAAACTGCTGGGAGAGCTATTCCTAGGTGCCAATTGCATACTGAATTTCCAAGCTAACTTCAACACCAAGTGCAAAGTTTATAACTTGAAAACGCTACAGGTAGGGCTGGGAGAACTACCTTTATTATCTGACACATCCCACTGAAAGACCCTGTTTTTCTGCTTCTAGTAAAAGATTAATCCCTTGGGCTTTAGCTTTTCATGGGTTTTGTTTGCCTCAGACTGAATATTTTGGAAAGTCAGTTGTTTCTGGCAGTGAAACACCAGGAACGTGCATTGGCCTGCGTTACAAACCAATATGCTCCGAGCTCTAAACCAGCCATCTGGACTTAGGTCAGGGAGGCAGGTGTATTTGGGGCACCCCATTTGCCACCACCGTCAGGCTGAATCTGCCTGACACCAGCGCAACACCTTCGCTAATGTTTCCCCGACGAGTTCAGGCTCCCATTGTAGGCTGTAGCATGGGGAGCCTACGGAGAGAGGTGAGAGGAGGGGGAGCCACTTACATTGGGTTCGAGTTGACTGGATGGAGGACCACCTGTGGGGCTCGGGCTGGCGTCTCAGGCACCACATCTGAAAACCAGAGAGCTCAGTGAAAGCAGGGCAGGACATGGAGCCTTTTGGGGTCTGCAGCCAGCAAGTTGGCCAAGGGCATCCAGGGAAATGAAACCCACGTTTCCAGCCAGGTTGAAAAGCTGGGTTCACACCTGGGTAAAACTCAGTTACGCTTGGGTATAACTTAGGGCTACCCAGCCCTGCTCTACAGCATGTTAGTAGGACACAGTCCTGGAGCAATATGGTGTTCAAATGGTCATCCTGCGGTCCTTTTTTGGGGAAAAAACCCCTATCAGGCACCCCTTCCCCTGCACAAATGCAGGGGCTAAAAAAGCCCGCATGTATCCTCGGCCGGTGAGCGCCAGCTCTCCAGGAGGCACACTGCGTTACTGGCCTGACAAGCCTTTCAGAGAGACTTACCAGGGAAAATGAACTGCTGCTTGTACTTGTAGTAATGGGAAGCTGGAAGACAGAAAGAGGGTGGGAGATTAAAAAAAGGAGCCTCAGAGCCCAATGCTGGAGAGAATCTAATCCAAGGAATCTGACCCCACGGCCAAGCCCAGCATCACAAAGTGCACAACCAGAGTCCGGTCCCTCCTGCTAGCATTCCCCAGGCACAGCCTCTCCTCACTCACATCTCTCAAAAAATGCTTTTATTATTCCATCAAAACCTACGCGCATTTGGTGGCCAGCCAAAAAAATGAGACCCTCAGCCCTCCAATAATTAAGACATATCATAACGCAAGGAGCCAGCAGCACAACACAGTCCCTCACGCATGCACTCACTGACTCTCCAAACATATGCAACCCGTGCAGAGGTTTATTTTCACTCCTGTGCTTCAAGGGTATCCTCCTTACACTGTTCTTTTCGTTGTAAGCTCTTCAGAGTCGGGAGCAAGTGGTCTGTGCCTGTGTGGACGCTGAGCCTGCTAGCACTACTCGAGCGACGGAGAGCCACTCCGCACCAGTGAGCTGCCCAGCCAGCTGCTGCTCCAAGTGCTGGAGATTGCTGCGGAGAGCGCTTACCATCTATTAAAAACCTACCTCCTCTTTTTGCCAGCCTCAGCTACTACTTTATACCCATAATTAACATACGGTGAGTGCTGACGTGGTCTGCAAAGCTACCTGATGGATTTGACCGCTCAGTTCTTATCGAAAGCCTATGGGGTTTTAGCCTCCGATAGTTCCTACAGAATCACAGCTTGCGTTTGTGGCATCAGAGAGACGCTACCCAACGCGCTTGCAGACAGTGCACACTGTGGTTTGGCCTGGTTGACAGCCATGGCAGGGCTGGTAAGGAGAGACCCCAGGCAGATACCTAGTGAAGCACTGGCCTCCCCTAAATAACACCAGGAGCTGGAGGGCCCCTCTGCACCTCTCCATGTCTGCTCCCCAGAGCCACCGTCCACACCACAGGACCAAAAGACACGTGCCCCTTTCCCACACGTCTGCAGTGATGGATTGCATCTCTCTGAGCCAGGAGGGTCCCCAAAGGCAGCCGCTGCCAAAGCGGAGCAGAACCGCTAGGGCCTTGGCGGACCTCAACGGCTCTTCCCAGGAGACGAAGGACACTAAGTACCAGCAGCTCCCGAACCTGCACCCCAAGGGCTGATTTGCCTTGTACAGGCAGGCAGGTAGCAGGCATGGATCAGCACAGAGCCGCTGCAGCCAGCACAGCTCTGCAGATCAGCACTAGTGGAGAAGGCACTATCCCCTCTCAAGCTTTGAGAGCCCAGAAGACTGTCCATCAGCTTTGCAGTGGAATCTGTGCTTCTCTGAGCTGAGATCAAAGAAGATTCAAAGGTAATTTCAGGGAAAAAGTCGCTGTATCAGTTCCCAAGCTCAAATCCTAATCCCTAAGATGACCTTCTTGATGAGGCTGCTCTGAAGCACCGAGGCCCTCCTGCGTATGAAGATGAAAGCTGGCCGAGTCCTGCTTTGCCTCAGACTGGCTCCCACCACAGGTTTCCTGTCCAGCAGAAGAATATGAGGCTAAACTCCAAATGTTTCTTTGCTGCTCTTATTTTCTGCATTTCATTTGCTTCCCTGAGTGAGCATATTCCAGGGAAACAGCTCTTCATGTCCTTGCAGAGCTCCTCAGACATCCACTACCTACCATCAGAGACCAGACTTGGCACTAGGTTGACTCTGGTTTGACTGATCCCAACTTTTTCATACAGGTAATAGAAACACTTCTCATGCTTTTCTTTTTGCACTTTGCAGCTTCTACTCTGAGGTCTTGAGGCCCACTCGTGGTTTGTGGACTGTGGCTTGGGAGATACTCCTCTGTCACACTGACCCTGGGAGGGGGAGCAAAATCAGAGCAGCTCTGCAGCCTCGACTGCCCCTGCCAGCCGGGGCGAGGAGGCAGGCACGCTGCCTGGGCCAGTGGCCAGGAGATTTGCTAGTTAAGTTTTACATGTAGGCAAAGGCTTTCTAAAAACGCCAAAGTGCCATTCCATGTCACATATGGGGAAAATCCCAGCGGCATTTGCAGGCTGTGCAGAAGATCAGGTTGATCCGTTGCAGAGAGGGTAAGCTCACTGCTGGTGCTGCATGGTTACTGCTCACTGGACTGCCCGCGCTGCCTGCCGGGGTACCGAATGCTTCCTCACAGCGCCTCCGACATCTTCCTCACTCCCCTCCATCCCCAGCATGCTCCAGTGAGCGGGAATTTTCTGCAAGGCCACAGGCAGTTTGAGGTGCCGGGCACGAGCCTGGAGACCAGAGGAGCTGTGCTGTTTTTTCTCAGCTTTAGCAAATGTTTGTTACCATGGCAACGGATCCCGCCAGTCAAATGCCTCCTCTTCAGCCTCCCTTCTCCTCTTCCCTCTCTAAAGGCTTGTCAAGATGGAAGGGGAGGAATCAAGAGGAGCACAGCAGAATTAACAGAGCACGGAGGCACCGTCTGGCTCCCTCGGAGAAGCGATCCCGCCCTCCTCCGTCCTGAGGCCTGGTAGTGCATTAATCCTGGGTTTTGTAGCTGGGGAAGAAAGCAGAGGGATCCTGACCTCAAAGCTGCTGTCCCATCAGAGAGGGGCAGCACGGAGGCTGAGACGCCACGGCCACACTAGGGGTCATCAGGCCTGGCCAGCACCGCAGTGCCAGTCCTTGGAGCCATGGGGCACCAGTCTGCCAGGCACGAGCCATGCAAGTGGGCACACAAGTCCAGCTGGGGGTGCAGCCGAAGGGAACTGCCACCATCCACTGTTGGAGGCACACCCTGGAGAAGCAGGTACCCAAAATCTCAGCTTCTTCACTCCAGCTCAGAGAGATCTCATCGTGGGATGTCTCAGTATCTCAGACACAGGTCGAGGCCACAACTTTCCCTCTTCCTCCCATCCCCAGTCCCTTCCCGGAGGGAAGTTGAGGTGTTCAGGCAGACAAGGCAGATGGCTGAGGAAGCCTGAAGCCCCTGTGATCCCCCTCGGTGCTTCCAGGAGTCAAGCTGAGCCATCACCTCCAGGCAAGGGACCTTTCCTGGAGCAGCAACACTGTCCCAGGGACATCCTCAAATGGCAGCAGCACTAAGGCAGGCAGTCGACAGATTTTTATGCCTGAAGGGGCTCTTCTGGCCATCTAATACAACTCTGGCATATCTGCTGCCTCAGCTGGCCAGACCTGCCCTCAGCCCCTAATTTGAGAGCAATTTACAGGGCTTTCTTTGCTTTCTTTCAGAAAGACACCACTGTGCTCACAGCAAGACTGCAAGGCATAAAGAACATGCCACCTCCCCAAACAACATCTTCCCACGATTAATGACCCTCCATGAAATACTTCTGCTGCCTCTTAGCTTGAAGTCATCTGGCTGCAGCTTCCAGCCACTGGCCCTCACTGTCCTCTAGCACTAGAGTCCTCACGTCACCAGGGATCAGCAGACTGCACACAAACTACCTCTTCCTTTTTCCCTGAAAAGACTGAGGTCTGGAAGCCTTTCCTTGGCAAATGGGTCTCTCCAGACCTCAGGACATAGGTACATAGAGCAGATTCAGTGGGACAAGCTAGATTAAACTCTCCAGTATCAGCTTCTCCCATCTGTTGCTCCACAGGCACTGTGGCCCTGCCCTGAAAACAAGATTGTTGGAGGTACATTACTCCAAAGACGCAGTGAAGGCATCTCAGCTTACTCTTGAAGAGGGGTAAGAACTTGCTTCCCATTTGCCATTGAGGCAACAAACACACAGGGGCACGTTATGGACAAGTCATGCCTGGAAACTCTTTGGTAGCCGCTAGTGGGACAGGTTGCCCACAGAGGTTGTGCAGGCTTCGACCTTGGAGGTTTCCAAGCCACGGCTGCATAAAGCCCTGAGCAACCTGCTCTGGCCTCGTAGCTGACCGTGCTCTGAGCAGGAGGCTGTACCAGACACTCCTGAGGTCTGTTCTGACCCAAATTATGCTATAGTACTAAGCTCGGTTTTGCTGCTCTTTTCTGTCTCCAGTTTTCCCCACCTCAGCATAAGCATTGGCAGGCAAGGGGATCTAGTGGATCCTCACATTGAGGACATCAAGCCGCCCCCCTAGCACAGCTCACCCAGTGCCTCTCCCATCAAGGTTGGATGTACAGGCAGAGGAGCCCAGCGTGCACAGTACCTGGCAAGTTGAACTGCTTCTGCTGCCGCGTGCACTGCGGTGAGGGGTGGAGGGGGGATGGTGGAGTCGCACTGGGTGGCAGCGGCGGGGCCGGTGAGGAAGGTGTGGAAGAGGTTGTGGAAGAGGGATTGCTGCTGGAGTCTGGCTGGTAGGGCACCGGGATGTGGTCCTGCAGGAAGACGGTGAGCATGGGGAAGGAGACAGAGAAAAGGAGAGCTGGTGAGAGTGGTGCCGGCTGGCTTGTCTCACCACTAGACTCTCCAGGGCTCCCAGGATGGCAAGCAATGCTCACACAAGAGCTACCCCTCCGTATAAGTCAAGAGCTGCACCTCCTATGGCTTGGTCGCTGCCTGGAGTAGGATGGAGGTGTGGGTACAGCAGAAGTCCCTGCCAAAAGACTGCACTGGGGAGAGCGAGCCAGGGTCATCCATGTTGCTCTGAGCCCCTCTTAGCACACCACCCATGACAGCTTGACTGGCCACATCCGAGGAAGAGCTGATGTTTTACGCTTCACAGAGAACGATCAGAGCCGAGGCACCAGCATTTCCCAAAGCCATTTGGATTCACCAGTTTGTACCAAGGCCATTTCACACCAGCAGCTGGGCTTCTTTGTAAGCCCTCTGTGCTGCACACCCATAGCTGAGGGCTTCCCAAAGCCTGCTTACATTGCCAAGTCAAGGAGGCAGAGACTAGAGGGAGGGACCTGCCTACCTGGGGCTTGGTCCTTAGAGACACCAGGACCTTGGCAACTTCTCCTGGCCTCAGGTCAAGCCAGAAACCCCAAGTCTCGCTTGGAGGAGGACTGGGGGCTCATTTCAGGCAGATTTGAAAGGACCACCAACTTCCTTGGAGCATCACACAAGCATCCTGAGACATCTCATCACACCCTGCTCTGGCCAGGTGATCTCACTCTGTTAATCCTTCCTAACTGTGGCAAGGGAAACAGCTCTGGGGTAAATGAATATTCAGGGTAGGTTTCTAGAGAAGAGCTTCCACACCAGTCCCCTTCTCTTGGTATCAGCACAACCTGCCCAGCACCTGCTCTTCCGGGCTCACTGCAATGGGTTAGGAAGGACCACCCGAGAGCAACTCAGGGGAGGAGCAAAATGTGGAGAAGGACGGCCTGCACAGCTTCAGCCAAAAGATTTTGGTAAACCACCAGCAGCAAAAACAGCACAGCATTTGTCTAACCTCACCGCTGGGGTGGGTTTGGCAGCTACCTGATGCTGACTGAGAAACCCAGGTCTCTCCTTGTCCCACCTCACAGAAACGTGGTGTGAAAGGGGGACACAAGTATTGACGGGTAGGGACACCTCGCAAGGGGGGGACTGTGCACTATTAACGGCATTATATTAGACCCAAAAAGGAAAATTGAGGCCAAAATTTTGCACCTTGCTCGTGGTCCTGCTGCCCAACTTGGAGACATAGCAGGGTCTGGTTTTGAGAGTGCTGAGCACTTGACTCTCCAAAGGCAGACACTCCCACGGCGAGAGCCCAAGCACAAGAAATCTGTATGCTCCTCCCCCAGCAGGAAATCAAGTCGGACAAAATTAGCTCATTTTAAATGAGCTGGGCTTTCAGGGACACCCACGTATATTTTGCATATTCCATCCTGACACCCACGGCAATGTTGGCCAGGGAAACTGTTTTTTAAACCAGCATTGGAGGCCACTAGGAGTAAGATTTCCATGTTATTTACAGAGCACCAGATACAGGATATGTCCAAAGATATGCTTTTAGAAAGAGCAAAGGAAGAAGGAGCCCCTGTCTCATAAAGTGCATTTATACAGGAAACATTAGCCAGAACGGGAGTGCTTGAGTCAAAGCCTGGGCAGAGGCAAGAGGACTATTTCTAAGCTGCTGCCAATATAGCTGCTATTATTGGTCCTCCTGAGAAATAGCCTGTTGCATCCTACGATCCTATATCCAATTGTATACAGCTTTTCAGGTTTGCAGACACATAAATACATATATATACACGTGCATATAGATGCACACATTAGCACATATTTCTGTATGTATTGGTGCGTACGTGAGTTTCCTCTGCAGCTTTCAAATTATATGTATACATATAGATATCTCTCTCTCTCTCTCTCTATATATATATATACACACATACACATATATATGTAATGAGCACCATTATACTATGGTTAGGGAAAGGTTAAGGAAGATAAAGTGACTGCCAAAAGCCACCCAGCAGGGCAGTGGCAGAAGGGGGAAGAGGGCTGATGTCCTTCAGGCCCAAGGCCTTCATCAGGGGACTGAACACATTCACCAGTGCCCTCTAATAAAAAAGAGAGCATACTACCCACACGAAACAATTCCCTGAAAGGAATTCCACTAAAACAACCAACCTCTCCACCCCCCACCCAAAACCCCCACTTCCCTCCCAGGAGCTGGAGCACCACAGCCCCAGGTCTCCTGTCAAACTTTGCCTCGTTTTGACGGGAACCTGCGGGTTTGACGACCTGTTCCCCAAGTCCCTCCATCTCCTCTGGCACCAAGGATTTCGCTTGAGGGCTTCCCAGCCTGCAAATTCTTTCCCTGGTACCCCAGAGCATCCACTCGCAGCCTACTGGCAATACCCTCTATGGAAGGCAGCGCTATAAAACTTCGTCTAAAATAAATCCGCAGACTGTAATTACTATTAACGCAGCGCAGAAGGAAGCTCGCCAGGTGCACTGCTGGACACGATCAAATCCTGTGCTGCTGTTTGCTCTGCCACTTTTTTTTTTTTTTTAAACTGAAGTCTCAGGTGGTGGCAGGGAGCACAAACAGCTCAAAAACGCAGGTTAGATTTGTCGCCTCCGGAGGCTCGGCGGCAGCAGAACTGGAGCAGGGCTGGCGGGACAGAGGCTATCGCAGAAGCTCTGATCCCGCTTTATTTCAGTGCTGGTGAAGGAAACAATGCTGGCGGATGCAAAACCCCCTTGAGGGGACGTGCAGCAGCCCTGACACCGAGGGGTGACAAGCCGAGGATCACTGGAGCATAATATATTAGGATTATTGGATGTACTATATATCAGTGCACAGCTGGATTTCAGATTTCGGACAGTTTCATCGTCAGGGCAAAGAGCCTGAATGCAGGGCGCAGCCTTTAGTGCCGCACGTACAGCCGTGAGCGCAGCCGAGGCCCCGGAGGCGGAAAGGCTCCAGGTAGAGCAGGGGATCAGGGCTTCGCCGAGCTGCGTCCTGGGCCATAGCGGCAACCACGGCCAAGCTAACGAGCTGCTCCGCAGGTAACGACCCTGCTCCTGCCCGGGGCAGCTCTGCTGCCGCCAGAGAGGAAGGAAGGAGCTTCCCCATGGCCGAGGAGCCCGCAGAAACCCCAGCTCAGCTCTGAACTCGCTGGCCCAGGGAAGGACCTGCCCTGGCAAAGCTGCTTCACTTCATGCAAAGACCGTCCCCACTGTCAAGCTCTCATCAGCTTCTCCCAACTCCCAGCTGAGACCAGCGCTCGCAAAACCAAGGCAAATGGGGCTGCGCTGGGGCTCCTGGGCACGGAGGCCCTGGAGTTGAGCGGCACGTGAAAAGGCCACCCCGCTTTGGCACCCTTTCCTCCTCTGCAAAAGGAGCAAAATCACCCCAAACATCAGCTGGCCTCATTCAAGCTCCCTGCGCGCTCACCAGCAGGACCCACACCCACTGGGACAGCTGGATTTCCCATGCCCCCAGCACACCCGTGGGGAAGGTGGGCAAGACCTGGGACCGCCTTGGCCAAAACCCCTCCAAGCTCTCCCTAACAGCGTCTCTGCTTGCCTGTTGCAGAAAGTCAACCTTTTCCTGATGTTGCATTTTTTCAAAAAAAGAGGCTAATAAACAGCAGCAGCAACGCTAGCCCTTCTGTTCAGCTCGCTGGCCAAATGGAGCTGGATTTACAACCCTTCTGTGAAAAGGCCATTTTGCATCGTCCCCACTTAAGGGCTGCAGAAACCATGGCCGAGGCCAGGCTGGAGACTTGCCCACGGCCCCGCAGCAAGCTCACACCAGCAGCAGCCGCAGGAGCTTGAGCCCTGGCAACCCCAGGGCCAGGCCTGCCCCTGGCTTCGGGTGCCATGGGTGTATGTGGCTGAGCAGAGGCTGAAGAACCAACAAAAGCTGCTGAGCTGCTGGTGATACGGAGCTGATGCACCTCGTGCAGGGGCCGGGACAGGGCTCTGCACCACCTACGTGGGAGCAAAACCTCGCTTGCGATAGAAATCCTGGTGCACCGCAGGGCTGAAGGATACGCCAGGGCTTGGGTATCTCACCTTGAACTTTCCAAGCCCTAATCCATCAAGAACATGCCTCCGGTCGCTTTTACTGAGTTTTTTTTTTTTTTTTTCCATTTAACAGGCTTGTTACTAGGCTGAAATAGCAGCCTGCCCTCTGGAAATCTCCAAAAAGCGTGGAGACACCGGTTCTTACCCCATTCAGCACTCCACCTCCCGAACGCCATGGAGTTAAGGGCCATGTCACCCCTTGGCACAGCAGCACCCACCAGCACCAGGGTACCACCGCCAGACCAGCCCGTGGCGAAGCTCGCTCGTTCCTCCGACGGGACGAGGAAGGGGAACAGCCCCAGCTCTCCTGGGTGTGCCGGGACGGTGGCAGCCGTGTCGCCCTTGCTCGTGACCCCAGTCTCTGCGGGAGCCCCCCCCAGAGGGACCCGCGCAGCCTGCGGGAGAGGGCCATGCCCCTCTCACCTTGTTGATTTTGTTGGTTTTGGGAAGCGTCTGGCTCACGTGCAGGTCCGAATACCTGGGCGGCTTCCGTAAGGGATTGTTGATATCGCAGGGCACGGATTCGGTCCGGACTAACCTTGCTGCATTAACAAGGGAGAGGGGGAAAGGGAGAGGAGAGAGAGAGAGAGAGAGAGAGATCAAAGCTTTAGAAGAGCACTTTGGGATGGAGCGCAGGTCACTCCGCACACGAGCCCTGCGCTTGAAAGCCGGTCCTGAAC